GGCGCAGGAGAGGTCATCTCTTGGGCCCGTGGGCTCCTTCCTGGCCCTCACTGGGCAGGGACCCTGGGGCTGGCCTAACCCTTGGGGGTGGAGGGCTCCCCATCCCTCCAAGCATGTGCCCCACTGTCTGTGCTGGTCGTGCAGCCCTGCCTCTCTCTTCCCCAGGCCCTTCCCTGCCTCAGCAGGGCCACTGAGGTAGCAGGGAGTGTGTTTTACCAGTTGTATGTATAACTAGCTCTTCTTTCTTTCTTTTTTTTTTTTTTTTTTTTGAAGGGGGAAATGGCAATTTTTCCCAGAAATGGCAAGGCGAGCAAGCGCCTGGGTTTAGTAAACGTTTTCCAGAAGAAAATAATAAGCCAAAGGTATGGACTGGGGTCCCCGGTGCAAGAAAGACATGGACCTGTTGGAGCGGGTCCAGAGAAGGGCCACGAGAACAGTCAGAGAGCTGGAACACATCTTCTGTGAAGAAAGGCTGAGAGAGTTGGGCTTGTTCAGCTGTAGAGGAGAAGGCTTTGGAGAGACCTTATTGCAGCCTTTCAATACTTAAAGGGGGCTTATAAGAAAAATGAGGACAGGCTTTTTAGTAGAAACTGTAGCGATAGGGCAAGGGGCAACAGTTTTAAACCACTGAAAGAGAGTAGGTTTAGATTGGACATAAGATACTATTTACGATGAGGGTGGTGAGACACTAGCACAGGTTGCCCAGAGAAGTTGTGGATGCCCCATCATTGGAAGCATTCAAGGTCAGGTCAGATGGGGCTCTGAGCAACCTGAGCTAGTGAAAGATGTCCCTGCCCATGGCAGTGGGGATGGACTAGATGATCTTTGAAGGTCCCTTCCGACCCAAACCATTTTGTGATTCTGTGTTGGTGACAGTCATGTGGAACTTGTCCCGTGGTACTACAGAGACCCTGTACTCTTGTCTGATACGCCTGTCCTTACAAGAGAGAAAATGTATGACAATCAGTCTGCAAATCTTGAGCCCGTTGAAAGAAAGATACATTTCAACCAAATTCTAACACAGGTTGACTTTAGAAAAGCCTTTACCGTAGTGATGCCTGAGGGCCTAAATTACATTAGCACACAATTCTGTTATCAAGGCCAGAGGGCCAAATCACCCCTGTGTGTGTAGTGGGAGAAGGAAGGATGTCTGCTGCCCTCTGAGGTCTTGTATGCCATGTGAGAACACGTATGGTCTGACTTGACAGGGTAGAGACTTGGGGCTGTAGCCTAGCTCTCCTCCCAGCCCTCAATAAACCTGTGCCAGCCTGGTATGTTTGCAGAAGTGATAACTGATGGAAAGGCGGTAGGGGAAAGAGCTGAGTGCAGGGTGCTTTGTTTGGAGGATGAGTGATTTGAATTTCACTTTCATGTTATGTTAGCTTATCTTTGAAACTTTTGAAACATGTTTTAATTGATGGCTTTATTAACAAAAATACTCATGAAAGTGTTTCACACCTAATTAAAAATAGGAATACCTTGTAATCTTGTAACTGCAATCTTGAGATGATTTCTTCTTTTTTTTGCAGACCAAAAAGAAAAAAGAGCCAGTTTTCTCTCATTATTGTGATACCTGTGACCGTGGCTATAAAAACCAGGAGAAGTACGATGAACATATTTCACAACATAAACAGGTTGATGAGTTTGCCTTGGTTTATTTACACTTTGATTTTTAATTTTGCGCATGATAACTAGTTAGCTGAAGTCACTCTTTGAGTGGAAGACTTAGCAAAGAGATTCCAGAGCAACTAAAAGTGCTACTAGGAGATTTTTTCTGAATGCTTTGTGTGTGTGAGCTATCATTGTATTTTTGGTTTTATTGCTGAAGTTATTTGAATGTCTTTCTTGTGAAGTATTGCTAAGACACCCCAGTGGTAGGAATTAATTCATTGACATCAGTAGAGCATCTAAAATTTTTTGTGTGAAAAGGCTTTATGTGGAAAACATGTTTTAAAAATCCACCCCTTTATTGCAAAGAAGTATCAAGATTTGAAATTGGAGTCTTGCAAATCTTTCTCTTAGGTTAACTTCATGTTATCTCCAATTATCACGTATGTTGGCTTCACTGGTTATTCTAATATCAGATGAAATTTAGAAGTGCATTATCCCTTCTTACTGTTTTTATAATCACGTTTGTTTTCAAAATGAGTAACTTAAAAGTTCTGTGTAACTAACCGTACAGGCATTTGGCACTGCGTTTGTTTGAAGTGTACTTGAATGCTTGTTTATAGCTTGTTTGCGTAACTTGTGTCTTAAGTTCACCCCCTTATCTTGCAGTGCACGGAGGAAGGCTGCAATTTCAGTGCACATGAGAAGATAGTTCAGATACACTGGAAGAATGTAGGTATCCCCCTGGACCCAAAATATGAGTCTGTGCAATCTTTACTGTCGTCCCTTTTCTCATTCTTCAGACACTTGCTTTCATTCTTCTGGAAGGAAAACCTATCACCTCTGGGTGGAATCTGTTGTAAGACAATGTTGTGGATGAAGATATGTTGAATACTATGGGGTTTTTAAATGGATTAGTTTTGTAATTGCTGTGTGCCGGCCGTCTCACCACTTTTAGAGATGACAACAGTGAGATACTACTATAGCTGGCAGAATGATGCTTTTTTTTTTTTTTTCTTGTGGGTTTTTTCCTTCCCCTTTTAAACACCTATGAAATACTTTTTCCTTAGGCACATGCGCCTGGTGCTAAAAGAATAAAATTAGATAGTCCGGAAGAGATCGCTAGATGGAGAGAAGAAAGAAAAAAGTGAGTAAGACTTGTGACCTGTGAATTTATTTTACTATATTATTCCTGTGTGATCATAAGATGACAGCTGAAAGGCAGTAGCAGCACGTGCTTGCTGCTGCTGTTCCTTTGACTCTGCAAAACTCCTGTGGTGGTGGTCTCTCTCGGAATGTCCAAGCCAGGAGGGTGTGAGCCTCAGAGACTATAATCATTTGGATGATTATTAGAAGGCAGCGTATCAACTGAGAAGGAGGTAGCTTTCCCAGATGTTTGATTTGGTACCCCAGGTTAGGCGAATGACTCATTCCTTCTAGCCTGATCCCCGAGATATTTTAGGTCAGAGATGTGTGTGTGTTTCCTTGGTGGTTTTTAATAGCTAAGAAATCTGGAACTCTTGTACTGACTATAATCGTAATACATCTTGCTGTGTTCAGATTTCCACAGCTTAAGTTGTCCCAGTAGACCCCAACAGGGAGTTCTCCTAATTTTTAAGAACTTTCGGCATTGCTTGACACTTTTCTACTGAAAGAGAACAGAACCCATGGATGATGCTGTCTCAAGTAGTCTAACTCATGTTGTACCTAGAGTACAAGGTAAAGTTCACATGTAAGCAGTATTTCTCATTCTGTGATGTGAGGTTGTACAACTTCTTTACATTTACCAGGATTGAAGTGTTTAAAAATTCACACTGGACTTCTGTAGATCTTATCTCACTGATCTTTGGGGGTTTTTTACCCCCTAAGTTGAACAGAATAAAATCTAGCCTTTTCCAGCAGGTGAAGGATGCTGTAGGCCTTCCTCACTTCTGTTCCAGACTTGGAATGTAGTCTTGTGGGTGATCAGTACATGGGTTTTGTTTCTGTGAGCAGGAGTCCTACATGCAGTGTGGGAAGTGATACACATTTAATTTCAAGATCACTGGTGATCAGCTTGGTCAGTGTACTAGTCACCTATGGGTTTTTTTAAATTAAAGTAAACCCAGTTGTCTGATGCAGTCTTACTGATGAATCCAGCTTGCATTTATGTCAGAAAACAATGTTGATTCATTCTTGTTTTGGACCTGACTTCCCTTAATAAGTTTTTACACAATGGCTTTTGTAAGAAAGGAAATATGAGTGGAATGTATGGTAGGAGATTTTTTTTAATTGCCTTCCATCACCTTTTGCTGTATTGAGAAGCAAAATTTCTCCCCATGTAATGGGAAGGAGCAAATCCCTGCAAGTTTAACATTCCTTTGGACATGGTTTCTGCTTTTTCTGCAAACTTCAGAACTGCAAGGGGAAGCCTTTCACTATGTCAGCACATCATAACTGTCAACTGTTGCACCTGCTGTCATTTTTTTACAAAATAACATAATCTGTAGGTCCTGGTGTGCGTTTTTGTTTTTGTTGTTTCTTTTTAAAAAAAAAAAAACAAAACAGCTTTTCTTGTTGTGTGTTTGGGTTTTTTTTACCAAAATTTTCTTTTGTGCCGTATTTAAAATGCCATAGTTAACTAGACAAAAATTGCTTGTGATCTGTGCAAGTACAAGTTTGGTGTCAGATTAGTTTTGGTTCCAGTGTTTCATTTTATTCAAGAGACTTGAGGATTTGTGTTTTTTACTTGCTTTCACTCTACATACTGCTGTCTTCCCCTCTCTCCCCAATAGTGATACTTACAAAGTCTTTATTACTTGTAATACAAAGTGTTTGAACAGAGTTAGCAAAAACCAAAAAGTCCTTAGGTTTGTCTGTCTTGTGGCCCACACTTAATTTTCTAATAGTAGCTCCAAGGAAAGGTATCAGTACTTGTGTGCAGAGTCTTTGCTATTCATTTGTAACTTTGCATGCACTTTTCTGTTTTGGGAGATGTTTGCGACAGTTCCTCTGTAGTGGCTGATGCTAAGGTTTAAGTGTTGAAATGATATTTAAGGTCTGTATGTCAGTACATGCTCTGCTGTATACTAGAACATTAGGGAAGCAGGAATCGAATGTACAGTCATGTTTAGGTACTGTTTGCTTGGGGAGTGGGTGCTGCAAGTCAAAGCAACATTTATCTACAGTAATTGTAAGGATGATACTCTCCCTGAGATCGTTTTTGTTGAGTTTCTACAGAATCTCATGGTACATGCTGTTGTTTTTTTATGGGTGAATATAATTTGGCTGTGGTACAACATTGCTGAAAGCCTTTGTTCACTGTGGCACAGTAAAATAAATGGAAATAAAGCCTTGTAGTCACGACCACCAACCAAAAAAGGCAGTATGAGATTAGGACCTTCTGAGCCAAGGCCACTAGATGGAGTACTGCTGTAGCTTATTTTGGTACTTCAGTCCTTGTGTGGGCATCTTGTTTAGCTATAATGGATGGGTGTAGAATGACTACCTGGGTGGCTTTTGTTACTCTTTGTACAACAAGGAAGCTGTACTAACATCCTTCTTTTTTTTTTTAATTGAGGGGAAAAAAAAAAACAAAGAGAGAAACCCAGCTGAAACTTTTGTGAAGCATTAATTGGGTCTCCAGCAAAGCATCGGTTTAGTACTGAAGGTCTGTTGTTGACTCACAGTAAACATTGCATTGTACAGAAAAAAAGGACACCAGAGGGAGTCTGAGCTATTAGGCAGTTGTGGTTTATGGTGACAGGAAAAAGCCTTTTTCTTTCTAGAAGCTCCAGTCAGAGCTAAGAATGAATCTTTTTAGGTCATTAGTAGTTTGTTTCTAATTAGGTTGCAATGATTTAACGTGTGTTTTTCCATGCTGCATCCCTAACATTCCTGTCTTGCTGCTTCTTTCAACTGTTGTAAATAATTACTTACAGAGTTGAAATTTTTCTTCTTTATTAGCTGCTGTGTTGTTCAGTTGTGTATCCTGCTAAAATCTATTAGAAAGAGTCTGTGTTTAAAGTGCAGCCTTACTCACATAGAGGGAAGAGAAGGGGGAGAGCTGGTAAGGAGCGAGTATCTCTGGATGAAGTATGCTGGGTCAGAATGCTGTTTTCCTGTCTTGGATTCTGTACAATGCCCTGTTCATCGCTGCAGCCTTCATGTCTCTGCTTACCTAAAAGGCTCTTTAATGGTTTGTGGCCCGCTGAACCTGCTGAGGCAGGCAATCTGAAGCGGACAACGATAGACATGAAGGTCAGCAGGATCTCAGGGTTTCCCTGTGTTTTCCAGACAGATGGTTGTGAAGTCTGACATCAGCTTTGGTGATGACAATTACTTCTCTTGTTTTGTTTTGTCCTGTCCCCTCCAAGTGTTGAGAAATGTGCTCTTTCCAGCATATTTTTTTCTTAAACGAAAGTTTAAAGGGAATTATCTACAGTGCATTTCCTTAATGTGTCAGAATGAGGTATTGCTGTCTTCCCTTCTTTCCAAGTGAGATCTGGGTCCTGCTAGCCCATCTGTTTCTAAGCAACTCTTCTTGTGCAAAGGTTATTAGAAAGAATGTGGCAAGGCTTCTCTGGTGTTAAAGTGAATCATTAAACTTACTTTTTCTTAGGTCCTAATATAACATTGGAGGATCTTGTGTGTCGCTTGTAAATTCTCCCTCTCTCCCCCCTCTTTCTTTAATCTGTTGGGTTTTTTTGGTTCAGTTAGGGATTGTAGGGATTGACCGCTGTATTTCCTTGCAACGTATCTCAAAGGCTGAGCATATGCTTAATGAATGAAGGCCAGTACTGTCAACCACACCATTTCTAATTAATTTGTGGTTCTTTAGTTGAATAGTGATAATCCTAGAGTAGCTTGGAATCCTCCCTGGTGTTGCATTCATAGTAGTTAAGTATGTAATAAGGAAAATAATTTCTTAGCACCTGGTAAAAGTAGAGAAGACAAAGCAAAGTAGAAGGAATGTGTTGGTAGATCAAGGTAAACATAGATACAATAAAGTTTACTCTGAACTGCAGAGATGGATTAGCAATAAAACTGCCTCAGCTAACATACGGTAAAATCACAGTAGAGATGCAGTGCTTGATAAAATGCCTGGGAGTCTTAAACCAAGATTTTGTCAGCTCTCTGTTGGGCCATCTTTGTTTTCCTTTGGGCTATCCATGGTCCCCTTTGCTGTTGGTTGTGCGTATGCAGTCAAGACCAGCTCGAGAAATTATTGAGGCAATTTGATCACTGTGCTGTTCCTATAAAGATGATAAACTTATATAGCTCTGGACTCGGAAATTCATTTTGTAAACTGCTGTAGAAACAGGTCTTTTTTCTCTTAGACATTGGCAAGGCTCTGTTTTTCCACTGCTTGCTAAGGGCTAGTTTACTCTGATGGTTATGTGAGCAAAATAGAGTACATTGGCCTATAAAACACGTATAACTTCGGCTAGTGCACTCATTTATTGAAAAAAAAACATCTACTCACTAAGGCACACATGTTAGTGATTATGTTGTGTCGCCATTTCCTGTCTCTGGAAGCTTAGGGTATCCTTTTACCTGCATGTCATTTTGTTGGTGTGTATGTAATATACTCATCTTAGCCTGAAAAACAGCTTTCTGGTGTTATCCTGACAATTTATGCTGAAAAACTTCCAGTTTGGATTATGGAAGTGTCTTTGGTTGGAAACTACAGCTGCTATGAAATGGGGCTGACTTCTCGGGCATTGCTGGCTCCTTCGTGAAATCTGCTGTGCCAGACCATCACGTCCTGGTTTAATTCCCTCTTTTACAAGAAATTGTTTAAGTTTGTAAAGCCTTTGTGGTGACTGATGAAGCTGTCTGTGGTCAAGCTCTGACAAGTTGTTTATGGGACCTAGGTGCTGGGCTAATTCTGCTTCAGTGGTGTTTGTAGGTAACGTTTTAAGAACCTTGTTTTATTGGGGGAGGAGGGCGTGTCTTCTGAGAAGGATTCAAAGCCAAGTCAGCTCATTGGATTTTAACACATAGCCTTTTATGTGGAAAGATTCAGTACAGGCTCTTCCTTCTGCATCGTTGCACCTCTGTTCAGGAGCAGTCTTCCTAAATGTAACCTTCCTGAATAAGAACTTTCTGTATCAAAAAAAATTAAATTATTTTTTTGATTTTTGACCTCTCTCGAGTACTTTGTGGCTGTCCTTAGATAGTGAAGTTTGCCAGGTCTGCCATAAAGTTGTATCTCAAGACCATAATATTTCCATTGTAGGCATCTTCCTCCACTTAGGGTCCAGTTGAATTTTGCTGCCTCCATGGGTAGATCTAGCTGATGTTAGGAGGTGCACAGACCTCTTTGTACTGGGGCTGTGGTACCTGATGAGTTGTGGAGTTGCACTGGGGCGGGTACGTTGGGGTGGGTGGGTAACTTTGGTCCATGTCTCTTTGGTCCATTTGCTCCTTGCAGGGAGAACTGGGGTTGACTTGGCCCAGTCCCACCAGGACGCACTGGTGGTCTTAGCCCAGCCTCGTCGTCGCACAGCAGAGCACCTGGGGAGGAGTGAACCCCGTCTACCTTGTTCTGAGGCTGGTGACCTGCGGACTTGAACGTCCAGAGCTTACTGCCCACCGAGTCCTTAGATGGAAGAATAACTCATAGATGCCCATTTGCTCATTGTCAGTGAAATGAAACAGTCTGTGCATGTGTGCTGTCAAAACAGGTACATTTTCTGCACAAGGTAAAGGCAGTGAGTGAAATGCTATTTAACATTTGAGGAGAGCTGGAGAAAATAAACACAGCCACTACAGGTGCCTTCAGATGTGCTTTTGCAGGCATACTTGGACTTAGAACTTGAGCTCTCTTTAGCTGTTAGTTACTGCCTGGGTCAACTGGAAGGGTGGTTTAGGAGAAATCTGTCTGTCTTGGCACTGAATCGAACCGAAAGCATTCGTGGAGTCCATTACGGTGGCTCGGTGGAGGGAGTGGTAACTCATAGGAATGAAGGTGGGAGGCAGTCATGTCTCAAATAATGTTGTGAGAGCGTGTCTGAATATGTCCCTAATCAGCATAACAGCAGGAGCACTTTGAAGACTCCTTTGCTCCAGGATTAAGGGTCTTCCCTTACGTCTTCCAAATGAAAAAAAAAAAAAAATTGCTAAGACAAGCTTGGGGCTCTTTTGACCATAACTGTTTATTTTACAGCGCTCTCTCCTTCCGTGAGCCTTACTCATGTGAAGGAAAGCACCTTATCCTAAAACTGTGGAGAGGTGCCAAGCGCAGGGGTCTTTGTCAGTGTGAAGCTCTTGAGATTAAATAGTTCATTACATGCTTGCTGTGTGCTGGGAGTGTTGTAACATGGATGAACAAATGTAGCTAGCAGAGAAGAGTGGAGATAAAACATCACATCCCTGTGCTCACTTGAGGTGTATGGTGGATTTCTGGGAGAAATCCAATGAAAATAGATGTTGACAACTCTGGTTCAAATTCTCTTAAAGGGGACAAGTTCTGTAATGTGTTTAGGTGTGTCTCGTAGGAAATGCTTCTCATCTTTTTCCCTTGGTATGTGGTTGAAGCTGTCTTGCATCAGTGTGAGGCTTAACATTCGTGTTGTGAAAAGGGGAAGATACATGTGATAAGATTAGATATTTAAAGAAAGATACATGTCCTTTTTGATAGCTATATATAGTGAGTCGCTGTTTGAAGTTTCTCGTTACTCCATTTTAATAGACTTATCAAATATTTATACTTTGTGTTTCTGTCCAGAAGCCGGTGGGGGTGTATGTGTGTTTCCCATTTACCACCTTTATCTCAAAGCACTGGGATTTAGCTAACTAATATTTACAGAGCAACCGGCATAGCCATTTTTGGGCTTTGACAGTAATTTGCAGCAGGTCTTGCATGTTAGAACCAGCGTGGCGTTCATCCGCAGGGAGGGATGGGGAGGGAGGAGGAGAATGGAAGAGAGGGATGGTTTTGGAGATGGTTATAACAGTAGATTTGTTTTGTTCTGCATGGCTTAGTAATTTTTCTTGGAAGCTTGAAGAAAAAAGGGGAAGCTTGAAGAAGAAAAATTGGTGAGGTCAGTGTGCAAGCACAATACTTGCTTGAGAGGAAACTTGTGTGCTTTTCCTTAACTTTCACATTAAATGAATCTTGTGCACCCAGAAGCTGTTCTTATACCTTTTTTTTTTTTTAATATATTACAAGAACTCAGCAGTTGGTTTGTTAAATTGCAGGACTAAAACATGCTGTTATGTGTAGAGACAGGCAGAGGGTCCATAAGCATGACTGAACTGTTTGTCTGTAGCTTGTTTGATGGTTTGGTAAATCTAGTCATGCCAATTTGGTAGGGTTTTTTTTTTTTTTGTTTTTCTGTGTTTTTTTTATCTGAGTATGTAAGCATAACTGCACTCAGATTTCTTGCCTTTTTAAGAAGGAAACAGTCTGTTAAACTTCTACAAAACATTTTAAAAAAACTATTACGTTTTTTAAAAATTACTACATTTATAGAGGATGCTGGTTTGGTAAAGGGTGAATTGACAAAGTACAGTGAATCATTTAAGAGCCAGTGACATTTTTTTTTTTTTTCCCCTTCTAGAAATTTTCCTACGTTGGCAAATGTTGAAAAGAAGAAGGCGATGCAGATGCAGAAGGAAGAAAGGGGAGAAGTGCTGACTACCCAACAGTTTGGGTAAGCGTTTTCAAAGCAGCTTGTTACTTTGCTCCTTATGAGTTCAGAAGTATGCTGTCATTGTGGTCTCCCAGCGTTTACTGCCTCTACTGTACATATGGTCTGGCTGCCCTTTAACAGAGGACAGGTCATTTGACAAACTGCAGATGTAATGTTCCTTTGTTTACAGTGCTTCATAGTCCACTTCAGTTAAATTAAACAATACTTGTATTAGAAATCTGATGTTCATGCTGAATTCTGCACTCTGGCTTGTTTGAGAAAACCACATTCTAGTGGCCATTCATTAGATCAGTGTAACCTTGGTCTCTGAAAAAGAAATAATGGGGACAGCAGTCACGCAACATAATGAATCCACATGGTCTAATCCTTTAGTGCCTGAAAATGGCCAAGAGAGATTTTATGAGTGGATTTGCCTTCTTATTCTCTCCTTTCAGATGATAAATCAATAATCAAGTGAAGACGGGAGGAAGATTTAACTTTATTTTCATAGCTTCAGTAGTGCTACTTCTTTCTTCTACCCTCCATCATCTTTATCTATCTGCTACCTTTGTTCTGGGCCCAGTACTTAATCCTGTTGGATTTTTAGCTGTTCTCTCCCTTATATTGTGAATTACTTTACAGTATGATCTTCTTTTTTCCTCCCCACAGTGTCAGTGTTATGTGGAACCAGCTAACTTCATTAGCTCTACTTTAGGGCCTGTGGGAAGACTTTTAAAAAACATTAAAATGATCCATACCCCCAGAATTTCACTTGATTAAATGAAAACGACTGAGCTGGAAGGCAGGAGCAGACCCACTTCTGAGGGGGTCTTGCTAAATCCCACTTGCTGCTGCATGGAAGTGAAGCTGGAGCTTGTCTGCCCTTTTTGTTTGGTTGGTTGTTTTTTGGTTTGCCTTTTTTTTTTTTTTTTTTAATAGGGAATGACACCAAACAAAATAAAACTTGCACCATGGTAAAGTGATTGAACTAGCGCAGAATAGGGTTCATGCCAGGCTAGCGTGATTTGTTAAATTGTGATAGTGCCAATTACCTTGGTGCAGCATGTGCTTCCGAAGACCCAACACTTACCCACCCCTCCAGCCAGTTGCCTTTTGTGACTTTGGAAGGAAGGGTTTATAAAACACTGAAGTAGAAACTTCCTTCAAAAGATAGAAAGTTGCAGAAGTGATTTGGACCCAAAGAACCAAACCTAGGCATTGAGACTAAAGCCACAGACATACGGAACTATGTTTGGAGGTTCTTATGAGCAAAGATGAGTTTTGCTTGTCACAGTAACAAACTGTTTGGTGTCTACAGGTTTATTTGGTAACAGTTGTGGCTGTGAGTTGGGTACATTATGTAGTCTTAAATGTTTGTCAGCAGTTCTGTACTTACCTCTTACATGTGTTAGTAACTTTATATCTGGAAGATTGTTTGGGAAAAGCAAAGCCCTTGAAACTAGAGTTTGTTTTGCTGTTTGATTTCACTTAGTGACCTTTAAGTCATGTTGATTTTAGAAATCTGTTCTTTTTTTCACCTCCCTTCCCTGAACTGCTAGCACTACAGACTTCATGAACTGTCCAAAAAACTGTCATTTCTGCTTTGTGTATCAACAGTAAAGATTCTGGAATTGGTGCTTATCTGGCAAATTTACTGATGCATGAGGCAAAAATAGAACACAGCTCTTTCTCTGCAAGCTGTACTATTAAAGCAAATAGCTAAGTAAGATTTAGAAGGGATTAGATACTTAACACTTCTGTGGCGCTTTCCATTTGTGGTTCTCTGAAGTGCTTTACAACTGCTAATTCTCAGCATCCCTGTGTGTGAGATTAGAGATGCAGAAGGACCACTTTGGCAGTCTGTGTGGTGTCTTGCAACAGCTGATTAATAGCGCATGGCTCTTTATCCCCTCTGAATGGGAAGTGAAGAGTACATCTTTCACGAGGGGAAGGCAGAAGCCAGGCTGATGTTTGTTGGGATGTGTTTGTGACCTTGGGGCTTCTTTCTGTTGTTTGAGGCCCCAGGGAAATCAGAATGTTGTTTTTAACCCTGTGGCAAGGACAACACCTCTAATTGAGCCTATATTTGCTCGATATCTTCTAGGTTATACAACAACATCCTGAATTTAGAGCCTGGTTGTACAAATACAGAAATGCAGTTCTCTGTCTAGATGGAGTTGAATTATGGTAGCTACTATTAGCCTCCTTGTGTGGATGAGAGACTGATGCACAGGAAGGTGGTGGCTTGCCTCTTGTGCCACAGGAGCACCATGGTGGATGACACTATCAGGGCTGAGCAATCAGTGTTAGACACTGTCATGAAATGACTGGAGAAGGAAATGAAATATGTTTTGTTGCAATATAAAGCCATTTTGAATGCTATGGCAGGCCCTGTTCGCCTCTCGAGAAGTTCTTAATTAGGCTGGAAAGTTATGGAAGAGAGGAATTTTGGTAATGGGAACGTTTCTGTACAAGCAAAAAAGTGGGTGGTGTGGAAGGGCTGTATGATGGAGGTCTAGAAAAATTCCGTAGGTGGGAAGAGGTGAATAAAATGCAGTTATACACTGTTTCTTGCAACTTGAGAAGAATGGGAGTACCAAATGACCATTTTAGACATCAGAATGAAGACAAACCAAAAGAATTCCTTTTTCACAAAACATTAAGACCTTGCTGCAAAATTTCAGGGGTGCCAGACATTCACACAGCATCCCACAGCATGAGACACAAAACCATCAGTGTCTTGGGAGCATCTGTAGTCAGAGAGGGTCTCTTAAGTGGTACACTGCTGAAAATTAGGCGAGGAGAAAGGTGACCATTCGACCTGCTTTTACTTTTTTTCTTTCATCACATGTTCTGCTGGCTGCTTATCAGACAAGGTACCAGGTTAGAAATACACCTGTGAGACTCTGCTTGCAGATGCATAACTCTAGACCCAGGGAGAAGCTTCAGGAAGAAGCTCTTGCCCAAGCATGGTATTATACAGTTGACTAGGGATAACAGGACCTCTGCCATGCTGTAGGTGAGGCTGAGGAAGAGGGAGTACAGAGCAAAACAAACCATAGGGCTCATTCAAGATGGTAGATCTTGTATGTCTTTTGTGGTTGTAATGTGCTGATGATTAGCTGCAGTCTTGTTTTGCTGAATTAAGTTTCTGTTGCCTGAAAATAAGTATTTTCAGGAAGCTTATGTTGTCACTTCTATATTTGCTTTTCTGTCTGGGTCAGACCTGTTCTTATCTCTATAGACTTTGACAAGAGTTTGTTAGGCTCTCCAGATACCTTCCTATACATGTTTTGTGTTTATAGGATAAGCTGGAAGATTAGTGGGACCAGCATGCTGCGCTCTTTCCATAATTTAGGACTTGTTTTGTTTTTTTTAAAATCCATTGTCCTGATAGAAGTTTCTTTCTTCCTTTTCCATCTGAGTGAAAAAGATGAACGTCATGTTAGTTGGAGGCAGGAGTAGGCAGTTGTTATTGCAATTGATGGTGTCAGATGGCTGAATGGATTTAGTGCAGCAAGATCCTTCTCTAAGCTGTAGCTGGAAAAAGGAGATGTCAGCAGTGGAAGTGTGCTTGTAGCAGATGATTTCCTTTTAATTCCATGTTCCCCCTGGTTTTGAATGGCTTCATTGATTAAGTGAAAGGAATATTTGTTGGCTTTGTAATGTGAAATGAAAACACTATGTCCTCACGCTGCAGATGATCAAGAAACTTGCTTAGCCCTCATACCCTTTGCCTTGTCAAAAGATAAAGCTCAGGAACTTCAGACTCTTAATTTAGGTTCCAGCTTTGTCACGTTGCCCTGCCAATGAGATGAGCTGTGACTACCTGTCTGGTCTGTCACCACGTTAACTGAGCTGGAGTAAGTCCTGGCATTATGCTGTGTTGCTGAACCTTAAATATTGGCCGGAACCATTTGGTTACATCTATTGATTTTATTCTCATAGCTTGTCATTTGTATGAGCTTTGTGTTTCTATTCTCCAGCAAAATGAAGGGGATGTGGAAACCTCCAGAAAATGAAGAGAGGTTTGGGCAGCAAGGAAGACAGAGGAGAAGACAAAGGCGCCCATTCTGGAAGAAATTTAGGAAAAATAGCGGTGATTATAATGCACATAGAACTCAAAATGAAGCCAATGGACCAGAAAACAGCATGTGTGAAAAGGAACATGAAAAACAGTGTGCCTTGGTGGCTCAGCCATATGTGAAGGACGCGGACCCTCTTGGTCTTCTGGCAAGCAGTGACGTTGGTAAGATGAAGGAACTTGGAGAATTTTTATTTTAAGTAGTACTGCTGAAAAGATTACTGAACTTTTGTGTAACTAGCATCTTCTGGGGAGAGCTGGGGATTTAGAAAAACATGTGAACTCTGTCCCTGCTTGAAGAGGGCTAACTGGGCATGTTTAAAATGGGATTACTCTCTCTTAGTAGAAGATTGATGCAAGGCTTTACAGTATGCTTGGAGAAGAATACTGGGGAGCCTGTTGTCACACTTATCTTCTCATTGTTACTAACAACAACAACAAAAAAAAGCCCAGGATTGCTGTATTGTGGCTACAATAGGGCCAACAGGGTCATAAGCATGAAGGTAGTCCAATATCCTTGTGCCTAAAACTTGCACTTAGAACTTCCTTTTAAAGAGAAATTTCCTAGAGAGATCTCCTGATTCAGGACATGGTCTTCTAAGAAAATTTCCAGTGTGATTATTGTGAAATGTGGGTTAGTGGTTTATCTAAAGAAAATGGGGTAAATCTTGCATTTCGGGGAGCTTCTGCCCTAGTAGGCTCAGCCTGTTACGGAGCAAACTACCTCGGTCTAGAAGTCTTTGACATACGTGTGTGTGTCTGACTGAACTCATGTCCACGTGTGCTGGTAGGAGGAGCTAAAACTAGTAGACCTGGCTAAGATACAGTTTGGAAAGAATAGAATCGTAGAAAGAAGCTAAAATATAAAGTCATTGAAAAGGAAGAAAAATTCTGATTTGGAAAGGCTGACACAAGAATGCTTAAGATGCTACCAGCATTAAGCACTTCTACATTTATTTGCTTGCAAGCCAAGTTAGTTGTATTATAAACACACAGGGAAAATCTAGCAGACTACTTTTATGTCTTTCTGATTTTTTGTGAGAATTAGGAAGCATTAAATTTATTCTGTATGATTAAAAAAATGCTTAATCTGAAGAGGAGAAGATGTTCGGAGACAGGTTGTAGGAGTGTCTTGGATTTGAAAAATATCCACGCTGGATACTTATGTGTCTTAGCTTTGTATGTTTTAGAGTCCATTACTTGCTTTAAATAAATATTTAGCTAACAAACTGAAGATGGTTTCTGGGCTCTTAATGGAGCATCTCAATTCTATCTTTGTTTTAACCAGTACTTTACCATAATGACCTTATTTTACCTGTAGTCTGCTGATTAGGAATGCTTTTTTTGTCCAAAACACTTGACTGGGAAGGCCAGCAAAGGGAAAGTGGTTCGAGCCGTAAGGAAGTGATGCTGAAGTAACTTTAGGAAGGAAAGGAAAAAGAAATAGCATCTGAGTCATTTTAAGTGTAGATGCTGAAATTTTTGCTTGTTAGTCAGGGTTTTGGAAATGCTGCCAAAAAGTTTGTGTGCAATATTACATGTTCTGCCATCAATACTGTATGATAGCCTAAAGGATGTGCATCAACTTAGGTTGCTAAACCAACGTGGAAAATAAGAAAATCTTTATAAAGCCAGAAGAAGAATAAAGTACTCCGACAATCAAATTATTTTTTAAAGACTATTAAATATCCCTTTGTGGTTTTGAAATAACAGTGTTTAGAATGTGAAAACAAATGGATTTCCTTGAATGAGTTAAGTGAATTACTTAAAATGTCAGCATTTTTCTTTTAATTCTGTTTTTTTTGTTATATTATCTAATTTACTCTTGATACTCTCCATATGTGTGTGTTTTCTGAAGTATTGTGCTTCGTGGGGTTTTTTTTTGGTGAGCATGTCTTGTTTCCACATGCCAGCAGCAATATAAACTCTCCAGATACAACTATTTATAAGATATTCAGCAGTGATGCAGTACTCTTAGAATATGGCACGTAAGCTGACTTATACTCCAGCTATTTTTAGCAACAAGGCTAGAATGCATCCCCTGGAAAGACATTTGATGCTGAGTTATTCCTCTTGAAAACATAATCTTCAATTAGTGGGAACAAGAACTCAGCATCCCTGTGCAATTTGTTTATTCCACTAATCTCTGTGTGTTGGGAAACTTAAATATGCTTAAATATAACTGTATTTCCCTGCAGCATCTGTGTTTTACTTAATGATAAAAAGTCTAATTATACCAAAGTACAGCTAGTAACTTCTGTTATAATAGGTAGAAAAGGAATGTGGTACTTGCTTATTACACATTATTAAAGCCAGTTGCATTTTTTTTATACTATTGAGAAATATAGTTGTAACAAACAATAACAAACACAATATAACATTTAAAAAAAAAATCATACAGCAAAGTCCGTGATTTTGCTGTATAGGTACATTTTATTGGAGTAGTTAACCTTTCTAACAGCAGCAGCCCTTTCTCTAGAGGGAATGTATTTTTGCATAATGCATTCACTTAAGTTCTGTTTAGTGGCTAGTTTCTTCAAAGCTAAGAAATTGATTGGGAGATGAGAGAACAGAATTTTCCTCTTGATTTATAACCAGAAAAAAGGTAAGATGATGAGCCTATCGGGTGTAAAATTTTGAGGGATCTACTGACCAGAAACAGTCAGTTGTATTCTGTACTGCATAATGCTTCCTCTAAACATGGTACTCTCAAAAAGAAAATGTATTCTAGTAAATGTGTTTTCCTAATTTGCTAAAAAGCAAATTAAAAGCAATTCTTCAAAATTTAAAGAAAATAAAAAGAGCAGGGATCCAGTATGCACTCAACGTTTTGGGTGAGATAGAAAAAAGCAGCAATGAATCAAAATAACTTGGAGTAAATGTTATTTTTATAATTGTTTAAGTATATGCAGATGCTATGTATTCTCCGTTAGAAAAATGCACCGCGTTTAGCATGAAGTTCCAATGTAATTGCAAATCGGCATGATTACTAAACCAGTGAGAATCAACCTTCCTCAAAAAGAGCTCAAAGTAGAAGGAGGCTGGTAGGTAGTTTAGATAAATACCTGCGTATTTTATTTAAAAGTTGGGTTACCAAATGGCATGAGCTCCAATGAATCAAACTGCCAATTTTTAACGATATATTAGAAAAGCATAGAGAAACATTTATGATTTCAAAATAAAGATCTTGGAATTGTTTATTTTAATAAAATCTTCTTAAGAACTGTGGGGCAGCTTTCCTGTGGGGCAGGCTTAGACAGACAGGGGATGGGAGAGGGCACAGCTCTTTCTCTTTGTGAAAATAAGATTGCAACCAGTCTTTTTCTAGAAGTCTCAACAGGCTGCTAGTTTCTCAATATGTTTCTAGTAGTGTTGTGCGTGTGTTTGTGTGTGTGTGCATATATATGTGTGTGTGTGTATATATATATACATACACACATATGTATGCAGGTATATTACTCAAAAGCATTTCCTAGTTTTCCTGCTAACTCTAGCACTGTTCACCTGAGAGTCTTTCCAAAATTTTAATGCATATAGATCCTTTGTTTTGAACTAAAGCCATCATAATTTTGCATGTTTATTTTTAGGAATCTTTTTCTGGTAGGGCCCTGTTTTCCTAGCGTCCTCAATTTCAGCATTTTTGGTCCGCTTGCCTCCTGTCTTCCCGGTATTGTCTTTTGGGGCAGTTTGAGACTGTAGTACCTCCTTTACTCATGCCTGTCCATAATGCTCTGCGGGGATTTAAGTATCAAATGGTCTGAAGTACTGCTGAAAACTGATTGTCTAATTTGTAGCCTTGGTTCTCAATGCCCCTTACGAACTTCTCTTACTATAAAAAAATTTCTTTGCTCTTAAATTCTCGCTTTGAATGAGCCTAATTCTCCTGTTTTATTCCCCCCGCCGACTGGCTTTTGAATCCTTCTCCCCCGCCTCCGCAGGACTAAATCCAGCAAGACTTCGAAACATATTATGAAATCATCTCTCTCTCTTTACCTATACTTGATAATAAAACCTATAATTACATTTGGTATGTGAAGAAAGAAACAGAAAGCCCAAGCTCGTGTTCAGGAAACTTTTTTTTTGCTTCTGTAGCTTTGCTGGCAGCACTGTAAACCAGTGTTGAGACGACTTTGCCACTGAATGTGAGTAGAGGGTAGGCAAGTGTGGGGTTTTTCTTCTTTTATCATTCCATGATGTTGAGCAATGGCGCTCGACATCAGTCTTCCGTAGTGGTGAGATGGGGATTTAAAAGCAAGTCTGGCTGTTGGCACGCAGGCATATTGGGAAAAATCGCTCTTGACTTTTCTCTCCGTGCAGAATCCGACAAGGATGAAGCAGCAGCCGAAGACAGGAGGCTGGGATTGACTGTCGTTCCCAAGCAGGTCACCTCCGCCTTGAGTTCATTGTCAGCCAACTACGGCAGCGCGTCTGACAGCGAGCCCGAAGGTGCGTAGGAGTGTCCTCTGCCCCCCTCTCCCCTAGTGCCCTACGTCACTGCGCCGGTGTGGACTGAAAGCAATGATAAGATCTGATCGCAAATGACCATTCTTTGGGAAGGGTTGGGGGCTGCACCTCTTCTGTATTTGGTCTTTTGCCATCTCCCATCCATTGTCCAGGTCCCATTTATTTATAAATGCAGCGTTTATGAGTGCAGTAGCCCAGTGGCGGCTTTTTACGGCTGCATGCCCAGCTGCTGAAAGCTGCAGATTATCAATGCCACGCAGAACCTACACAGTACTTAAAATTTATTGAGGAAAAAGCTTTTAAGAGAAATCAAAAGTGTTGCAGAAGAAAATACAACATGTAAGCTGTGGTTTGTATTTAGCAAAGATGTTAATGTAATGCCAGTTCAGTGGCTGTATCTCCAAAACACTTGGCTACGGAAATGCCTTTTGATTTCTGGCCTGTCTACCAGTGCTGTAATTCAGAGCTGTCTTGTACCTGTTGATTTTTAGGCTTATACAAGAAAAGAGACAAGCTTGTATAAAAGGTTTTGCACAGGATGTTTTTGCAGTCTGTGTACAGATCCTTTCCAGTTAGTTTTCAGTAACAGTGTATACTACTGGTGTAAGCCATGCATAAGGACAGGCTGGGAGGAGTAAAAGGGTATGCTGTTATTCTGTTCCTCTTGTTTCCCCATTCCTCCCTCCTCCCAGTTTTAAGCACTAACTGGGGTTGCTGGGTGAGCCCTTACTTGTTCCCAGTATGGTGATAGCTCCCAGTCTTGGAGAAGCACCTGGACGGAACACAGCATTTGTGCAGACAGCCAGTACATGGGGATGGCCTTGTCCACTTGGCCTGAGCTGCATCTAATGCACCCCCCCAGGTCCTACAGCATACTTAAGACAGCCTCAAACAGAGTTTCCTGAAAGATTGAGTGGGTTTTTTTCCTGCCTCTGCTTGCCTTTTCTCAGCAGCATGTCCTGGGTTGAAAGGGGGGCATAAAATGTCTTTGGTTAGGTGTGTGTCATCGAATTTCCCAAGCCTTTTTTCCCCTAGTTGGGGGCAAAAAAAGCATCCTGTCTTCAGTCTTGCTTCAAGTCATGTTTGAATAGTGCCAGAAAAAAACTGTTATGCTCACCCTGTGAACTAATTTCCATGTCCTTAAGGGCTTTTTCCATAGAAGGCTTCTGGGTGTTGCAGTAAGACTTGAACTCTGTAGTATTTGGATTTTGTGCTTCTCTGAGTGTATGCATCAGTGTATGGTAGAGAACTGCTGCTGCTCCTTGTTTTTGCTGATAGTCACTTGCCCTAGATGGTCTACCCAAAGTTACAGAGAGCATCTAGCATGCAGGGAATTGATCTTGGGCATCCTCTGCCCTAACAGTATCATGATTTTCTCAGCAGCCAAATTTGCAGCAAGCTGTATTGTGAAGCGGAAGCAATGTACTGTCTAAGTGATAACAAGGCAGAGGTTTGAAAATCCCGTTCAACTCACTACTTTTTTCTTTTTGTATTGCAGAATTTAAATATCTTGTTTTCCTTTCTGTGAATGTTTAGAAATTATTCTTTGTATTTTAAAAGAAATCCCAAACCAAACAAACCCCTCCCTTCCTCCAGGTAAACCTGGAACATCTTCATGTCAGGTTATGTGAGCAAGAATAGTACTAATGAACTGCCAGTGCATGGGGATATAAGCACATTAAAGAGGCTTTTTTAAGTTTGAGATGAAAGTGTGTTCTTTTTCTTTAAGAAATCCCTGTCAAGACTGCAACAAAAGCTGAGAAAAACCAGGCCGCACTCAGAAACACGCCTCAAACTACTGATGTTCCTCGGAGTCGAAACCCGAATGAAAAACGTCCAGAACATGCAGGCACGACGTTAAGAAGCTCGAATTCAAATGCACGTCCCCCTAGAGGGCCTGATAACTGGAGCAAGAAAACATTACCTCTCCTTCCGAAGCGCCGTCCAACTCTGCTGGAAATGGTAACAGTCTTAGTGCTAAAATAATGTCTCCTGTACAAGAGTAGCACTATTTGTGAGTGGTTCTCTTCTTCCCTGTGGGAAGTTAGAGCAGTCTGTTAGCAAAGGTCCTGTCTTAAAATAGCAAAGTGAGTGTTTCACTTGGAGAAAGTGTAGATGGTTAAATAGACAGATAGAAACACCCTTGGTGTGCATTCAGGTAACGACTGGTGAGCAAGAGATGACAGCTTCATGATGTGCCTAAAATGAGCTGCACAAAGGACAAAACCTTTATTCCTCCTTCTCCCCTCCCTGTGGTAGTATCCAGTAGGTTTTGTTCATGTGTAATCCCATCAGCCTTGCTCTGATCTTCCTTTGGTCCTGGCTTAACTATTCAGCTGCCTTCCCCGATCGAGGAGCACACGATTTTTTCAGACGCAGTCAAAGAGATCTTGTTGATCAGGGTGATGGTGACTTAAACTGTAGAGGGGTGTTGAGCTGCAAGCTGCACATGCATGGATTTCTTCTCTGTAGGCATGTGTAGGCCAATCTGAGGAAGTGACAGCCCCAGTACCCTGAAGAGCAGGTTTGTGTTTCAGAAGGGTAAAAAGAGGTTTGTAGGGAGGAGTCTAAGGGGTTATGATTCTGTTCTCAGTAACAGTGCAAAGCATCCTATTTGGAAGATTGGTGGCTTTCTTGAGTATAAATGAAACTTTGGAGCTTTTATTGCATTTAGTACTCAAAAGCAGTATGAGATAGGTAGACTACCCTTGTGATTCTGTAAATAGCTAGCATAAAGCTCCCCCATCAAAGGAAAACTTGCTGTGGGCAGAGCACAGGAGAAAGCAGGGTGCCACTGGCATAAGGGCTCTGAAACAGCACAGGATGTTTAGGCAAGAGATACCTGATAAGCCACATCCCAGGCTGCAGATGTGGGAGAAATCCCTTGATAGTCCTTTTAGCACATACCGTTGCTACTGAGAATTAAAACTCCTAGCGACTGAAAAGGAAGTGTTTGCCCTTTGTGTAGCTCCCGAAGCATGCAGTCATCTTTATCTCTTGCTCTTCAAAGTTGCTGGTGATCAAAGCAGTGAGGACTCTGGAAAAAAGTCATATGAAGTCCCACATGCTGAGAGAAGCTGGCAGAACATTGGAAGCCTGAATTGTAGCTTGCCAGTATAGTCCATTTTTAAAATTTCATTTTGGTGGGGTTTTTTGCCTTTTGATGTTGCTCAAAACTTGTACAAGGGTGTGTACTGTGGCTGTGAATCACAGAGGAGTGCCTGAGATTCACGGGTAGGCTTCCCCTGTCAGAAACGGTCAGTGTATAAAAACCTTGAGGAAGCAAAGTTGAAATTTTAGTGAGTCACTGCTGAGAATTTATCAAAAAAGTAAGGAAGTGGGATTGCTAAGAAAAGGATGTTGTATCAGTGAAATGATGCTTTTAAAAAAGGTGAGGTAGGAGAATAGCTGCAGATATCTATTGGCACTTATTCGGCAGTGAGCTTGGGCACTACTGAAACGTGTTTATTGTAGCCATGCAAACAGTAATGTGTGTTTAGCCATTCTGTATGCTGACAAAATAAAAAGTCTGTGTAGCATCACTTTACTGATACCCATGCCTGCGTTAAAAATATAATACAAAGATACAGTCTTTGATAGGGTGATGGTGCAGGATCAGATAGTTACAGATTCAGTCACTTGCTTTAAACTTGTTTGTTCAGAGTACTAGTTTGGCTGACACTCACAATGACAAAACGTCCTTCAGCCTTCTGGGTGATTTTTTTTTTTTTTTTTTTTTTTAAATACCAAAATGAACTTTTGAGAGGTTAAAGGAGATAAGGGAGGCCTCTAGCACTTTGATTAAACTATTAGACTTAGGTTGGTGGATTATAGCCCAAACCAGTTACTGCTATTTAAATCCATAGTCTGGTACCTGATGAAACATGCCCTTTCCTTGTATTTAGAAGTATCTTTTACTCATGTGGGTTTTCTAATTAAAAATGCATGCGATATTAAATTACAGATACAGTATAACCTGGAAAGTGTAAAAGATGCTAACAGATTTGCTATCCTGATGTACTGGAATATGTGGCCTGGAATGTGTTCTTTGCTTCAGGTGTTAATTATAGTCCACAATATGACAACATTGTCATCTGGGTCGACAGTCAGATAATCGGGGGGGAAATTCCTGGTGTTTAGGTATATTCCATGACATTCTGTATCACCTGAGCAAACTGAGACTGACAGCTTAATTCAAAAGATACCATCAGGTTTGTCTCTTGTTCTACCTGCCTTACTGCATTAATGGCACTAAATGAGTGGTGCTTAAATATGTACACTGTGGGCATGCGTGCATTTTCCATCCATTTCAGTGGTACAGTCATATGCCAGTACCATAGTGAATCTTGGCCAGTATGAGCCTCTGTCATTGTAAAAGTGGTGTTTGACCACCAACCTGCGCTGCTCTGGCAGCTTGCTGCTGCCCAAAAGGGCAGCTCCCTCCCTTGCCACCTCCTCTCTGGATGCCTGGTCCCACCTCTTTTTCTCTGCTATGCTGGGCCATCTGCTCACCCTGTTCAGTTTTTTGACAAAAAAAACCAAAACCCAGAATGCCCCGCTACTTGCTGCTAATTGTCAGGTTCGTCTTCTCCTGGCTGGTGAGTTGAACTGATGCAGTAAGAGGTCTGATCAGCACGAGCTGGCGTGAGGGAAGAGGGGACAGCAAGCCCTTAGATCTCCCAGCCCAGCAAGCTGTGCGGTAGCGCTGTCAAACACACTCGCTGGCTCTGCCAAAGCCCCGGTCAGTCAGTGGAAAAGCACCCAATGTAGGAATACGTGGCTTTCCTGTGCTGTCTCTTGTAAGGCGGTCTCCGGCTCTGTGTGTCCAGGACTCATGTGAGAGCGCCAACTATTTAAATTCAGAGATGTTCAAAATTTCTGAGTAGAGTTGTACATCTTGCTAGGCTTGTATCAGCTACAGAGCAGTAGAGGGAAATGTGCAATCATCTTCTCTTCTTTCTTTCTAGTTACTGGCCCAGGACATCCGACACGAAAGGAATGTGATTTTGCAGTGTGTTCGATACCTCATCCGAAATAACATGTTTGGACTTCATTTTAAAACAGAACCACAAGCTGAAACAGAGACTGAACAGTCCTCTACAACTACAGCAGAGTCTTTGATGGACAAACTTGATGAATCTAATTGTTCTTGTAGCTCTGACCTTCAGTTAGCAGGAGGAGAGGAAGATGCATTATTAATAGCCCAGGGTGAGAAAGCACCCGTGGATCAGACTTCACAGGTGGCTCATCTGGCAGATGAGGACACGTGGGAAACCCAGTCAATTCAGTGTGGAGAAGCGCTGTAGATGATGTCTGTTGTGGACGATAACACAAAGGCTCACCTTTTCTACCTGACTGATGCGTTTTGAAAGACATAAGTATAACAAAATAATCATTAAAGTATGTACTGAAAGCTGTTAAAACCACTTTTCTGATCTGCCCGAGGTGGCCGTTTCCTTGTGAAAACGGCATCCGCGTTGAGTAATAGCGTTTCCCCATGGCAGAAAGGCAGCAGTGGCACAGAGCATGACCTTCCCTAGAGTAGGTGCGGATCCCCACTTTCAAGCTTCAGAGCTCTGAATGTTTTACCTTGTTATGAAATATGTGTGTCAGTCCATCACCAGAGCCAAGTAGTGTTGTGGCAGGATGCATCTTCCTCATGTGAAATCATGGTCTGGCATGTCTGGGAGTATCTGAGTATTCAGAAGTATTTCAGTGGACTTTTGAAATGGTAATTCGGGGCACATTTTTTTCCCCAGCTGTTATTTGGTATAATATATCCAATATAAATGTAATATATCCAGTATAAAATGAAGAAATGAAAAGAAAGATATAGCTGACCTGGCTCTAAAAGTACAATAAGATACAGTAACTGCTAACTGCTTGCATCAGTGCTAGGTTGCTGTTTGACCTCAGGTACCCAATATTAAGTCTTAGGCCTTAACTGCTATTACAGTCATTGCCTGACAAATCTTGAAGCAAACCCTTAATACTAAGAATATTATCGGTTTAGAAATCTTACCAAGAGTTACTGGTTTGTCCCTTTTTAATATGAATTGGGAATTTAATAGTTGGCCTTCTGAAAGAATGTCTTCCTTGGTACATTGTTATGATGCTCTTACAGCATCCAGTGATCTTTTTCATCGATTTGTGCATACATCCATAGTGTTGTAAGCACTAAAAAAGCATCGGCCAAGGTTTAGAAACAAGTTTAGTCTTTTGATTACATTGTGCGTTTGTTTGTCAGAATCTTTCTTGTCAAGGGCAGGTGTTAGTTTGTCACATTGACACTGAAAACATGCCATGAAAATAATCTATTATCAAAACCTCCACTTCAGAATATTTCTCTGCTCTTCATCTTTTAGCTATGGCTACATGTTGGAGTTAAATCTCAGGGACTGATTTTATTTTTTTGTTCTTTGGTAGAAGTCTAGCCTTCCATTCCACCATCTGAAATACAGACACTCACGTGGGGGTTTTTTGTTGCCTAATAACTGTATTTTCTTTCCTCTAGTTCCTTAACTTGTGCCATACATCTCATTTGTGGTGCACAGAAAACAAGAAATAGCTGAAAACTCTGTCCCACTGCTGTGCTGTTTATAGCTACGACTGCATATTGTGTTTGTAATGCACCATCTAAATTTATGGAATTATATAAATATCAACACCCTTGTAAAAGTTGCGTGTCTCAAGAATGTATGTGCAGAATAGAAGCAGTGATCATAAACATTTATATTTCCAAGGCAGATGATTCATTCTTCCCATGATGGTCCCACGAGCCATCTTCAATCTCACTGACTTGCTTATGGCTCTTACAGTTTTACTGCGATGAAAATACCAACAAAGGACTCCAAGCCATGGAGATCTGGCACTCGGGCAGAACCTCATTTCAGAGTGGAGTGGTACCAGTGCTGTTGAAAACATGGGTAACAGCTGCAGGAAAAGAAAATGATGTCTTAGGATTGCTACGAAATTGCACTTTAATCAATGCTTAACTATTGAGTCGATGGCAGAGCTTTCTTTGTACACTCTGACCTTGTGTTTAAAAAAAAAAAAAAACCACACCAAAAAAATCCTTTAATCTGAATTCTTTATACTGTTGTCGTTATGGACTTAAGAATATTAAACTTTCACATAAAACCAAAAGCTTTGTCAGAGGAAACTTTTTAAAGTCTATTTCATGTAGACAGGAAGGAGGTGGGTTTCTTTTGGGGGAGATGTGTACAAGGCTAGCATCGCTCCAGTCAGAATTTTTAACCTGGGACTTGTTGCATACACGCAGAATTGCTATTGTTGTTCTCATAGTGAACCATTTCTGCCAATTCACAGCAGACACGTGGAGATGTACACTGCAGTGATGTTAAACCCCAAATTGCAGTCTTGGTCAGTGAGTGGCAGGCCTCTGTCCCTTCTTCTCCCCCACTTTTCTTTTCCTGTTTTTCCAGGCTGTGTTCAGACTTCACATATTCCTTCCTCCTATTCAAGAATGTGCTTTCTTTGTACTTTGTCTTCAGCCTTTGGACAGGAAAGCTGCTATAATGACCTTTTCTGGTACTGTCAAATGCTTACAGGTTTCTCTGGTCCCTGCAACTTTCCTGTTCTGGGTTAAGAGAGGGGTGGGGTTTGTTTACTCCTTTCTAATAAGATGCATCTCTGTGTAAGAACCACCTGTTGCTTCTGACATGCTGCAGGAACCACTGTTTTGATTAAGCTTTGTGTTGCTTTTAACTTTCTCATTGTTTTGGGGGGGTGGCTTTGTGGGTTTGTTTGTTTTTTTTTTTTTAAGGATTTTTCAGTGTTATTAGAAAAAAGTCCTACTTATCAGGCTTTGTGACTCACCTTAGATAAAAATATTTCAGTGACAACCTTCACACTTCTGAAATTTTATTTTTATCTTCTTTTATAACTTAGCTACTGAAAATGTAATTGTGGGTGTCTAGTTTAATTTCAGTACCCTTGGGTTTTGGTGGTTTTTTGTTTCTTTTAAATGCATCTCACCTACTGAGCTAGAACAGTTGCGGGGGGCGGGGGGGGGGGGTTTTTAAATTGGACTTTACTCAGTTGTGGTGGTGCAGCTTAGGCAATCTAGGCTTTGCTGTGAGCAAAGTCACTTATGCTTACAGCACAGCTGCTCCTGAGACGAGGGTAAGGGAAACAAGTGTGTGTTTCTAATCGGTATGACTGCTTGGTCAGTGAGGGCTTTTGCAACTGATTTTACATGTTGATGTTGCAATCCTTGCATTGAGAGCACAGGAGGTGGGGTGGTGCGATTTGCCCTGCTCCGACAGGAGATGCTGCTGTCAGCGCTCTGATCCTCTGTGTCAGCTCCTTACAACTGGGTGTCCCTCTGCTTCCCCTTGGTCCTGTAGCCACTAATCCAAGTCATGCGGTGCAGTCGTTCGTCGGGATAACAGTCATATAGTCCTAACAGATCTTAGATGTTTAAAAGTGTTGAGGAACGAATACAAACTCTTGGAGCAGGTTGTTCTGTCAAAGGCAGAAGTCTGGGCTGGAATATTGCATTCCCCGAGCTATCTAGACGTGGCAATCTGGCGTACTATGGACTGATGTCATTATGAGGCCACTCTTGAATATCTTTCAAAGCACAAGACAATTGGAGAAAGTTCCCAAGGACTGGAAGGAAAGCAAATATCACTTCAGGAGGACCTGAGGACCTACAGGCTTGTCAGCTTCGCCTTGATCCCAGGGGAGGTGGTGGAGCAGATGAGCCTGGAAAACATTTCCAGACATACTAAGGACAAGAAGGTGTTTGGGTTTAGTCAGTGTGGATTTATGAGGGAAAAATACTTGATCAACTGGATGGTCTTCTACAGTGACATTACTTGCTTCGTGGCTGAGGGGAGGCCAGTGGCTGTTGCTTATCGTAGCTTTCGCAAGACCTTTGATGCTGCCTCCTGTAAAATCCTCATTGGTGAAGTATGGGCTAGATAAGTGGGTGGTGAGGTGGATTGGACGCTAGCTGAAGTGCCAGGCTCAAAGGGTTGTGATCAGTCACCAGTAGGTTGAGGGACATGGTCCTTTCTTTCTGTTCAGCACTGGTGAGATTCATCTGGAGTACTGGGGAGCCCAGCACTGGACCCAGCACAGGAGAGACATGGACATACTGGAGCAAGTCCAGTGCAGGGCCACAAAGGTGGTGGAGTGGAGCATCTTTGATATAGGGAGAGGCTGAGAGAGCGTGGAGAAGAGAAGGTTCCGGGGGATCTTATCCATGTGCGTAGATATCTGATGAGGGAAGTAAGGAAGATGGAGCCAGGCTCTTCTCAGTGGTGCCCAGGGACAGATGATTTTTTTGGTGTAAGACAACTGCCTTGGAAGCTCTGCCCCTACTGAAATGGCTGGTGAAGGGTCTAGAGAACAGGTCTTATGAGGAGCTGCTGAGGGAACTGGGGTTGTTTAGCCTGGAGAAGAGGAGGCTGAGGGGAGACCTTATCGCTCTCTACAACTCCCTGAAAGGAGGTTGTAGTGAGGTGGGTGTTGAGCTCTTCTCCCATGTAGTTAGCGATAGGACGAGAGGAAATGGGCTCAAGCTGCACCAGGGGAGGTTTAGGTTGGAAATTAGGAGAAATTTCTTTACGGAAAGGGTAGTCAAGCATTGGAACAGGCTGCCCGGAGAGGTGGTGGAGTCACCATCCCTGGAAGCGTTCAAAAAACGGGTAGATGTGGCACTTTGGGACATGGTTTAGTCTAGTCTACCGTTGATTGGTTTAGTGTGGACTTGGTAGTGTAGGTTAATGGTTGGACTGGATGATCTTGAAGGTCTTTTCCAACCTAAACGATTCTATGATTCTATGACAGAGCAGGCAAACCCCGCGGGCTGCCTGCACAAGGCTGACAAGCTGCTTCAAGGATTGAAGAGAAGGTAGCGGGGTCCAAACTCAGCGTCCATGACAACGGACAGGCATCCATGGCCTACATTTGTCCCTAGTGTCTGCCTTTGCGCAGCCTTGGACTTCAGCTCGGTGCATCAGTTTGCAGAGAGGGATGCTAAATCCAATGCTTTAACTCTCCTTGCGATGCAATTTGAGATAGATGAATGAAAAATGCTACGTAAGTGCTGGGTTTTTCTGTTATGTGGTGAGGTGAAAAAAAAGTTGTGTCGGTCTGGGTATTCATTGATGCTGTCTGGGAGTGCTCAATACCTAAAAGAAACTCCCACTCTCCCTACTTTTTATTACTCTTCTGGCTTATGTTGTGTGACTTCCTAAATTGTCCTCTAATTTCTAAATATACCCTTCAGGCAGCGGCTCTTGTTTGGTAAGACAGCTTTCTTGGCATAGTATAA